TATGGCCAGGTAATATTCTATTGCATGGGTGTACCACATTGTACTTACCCATTTATTGTCAGTTGATGGAGTTTTTCGGTAATTATGAAAAATGCTACTATTAACATTTTTATGCAAATTTTTGTGTGAGCATATTCTTGGGTATATAGCTAAAAGTAGAATTACTGGGTCACAGGGTCAAAAGGTGTTTACCCTTTTGAAGAACTGGCAAGCTGTTTTTCAAAGTGGCTACCATATTGTGCATTGCCATCAGCAGAGTAGGAGAGTTTGATTTTTCTCCACATCCTTGCCAATACTTTATTATCTTTCCTTAAAATTATAGCATTCTAGTGGGTCTAATATAGTATATTTCATTGTGGGTTTAATTTTCATTTCCTTGATGACTAATGGTGTTGAACATCTTTTCATGTGCTTATTGGCCATTTGTGTATCTTCTTTAGAAAAATGTCTATTTAGAACCTTTTACCATTTTTTAGTTGGGTTCTTTTTCTTTTTTTTTTCTTTTTTTTTTTTAGGATTTTATCCATGAGAGACACAGAGAGAGGAGCAGAAAGACAGGCAGAGGGAGAACCCTGGGATCATGCCCTGAGCCAAAGGCAGATTCTCAACCGCTGAGCCACTCAGGCATCCTGGGTTATTTTTTTTATTGTTGAGTGGCAAGAGTTCTTTATATATTTTGGATACTTGAACCTTATCAGATCTATGATTTACAAATATTTGCTCCCATTCAGTATGTTGTCTTAACTTTTTTGTGGTATCCTTTGCAGCACAAAAGTTTTAAAATTTGGTGAAGTTTTAGTTTACCTATTTCTTCTTTGTCTATTTGTGGTTTTGGTGTCCTATCTAAGAAACCATTGTCTAATCCAAGGTCACAAAGATTTATGTCTGTTTTCTTCTAAGAGTTGTATAATTTTTTTACATTTAGGTCTTTAATGAATTTTGAGTTAATTTTTAAAAGTAGTGTGGGTAGAGGCCCAACTGCATTCTTTTACAGGTAGATATTTAGTTGTCTCCATACTATTTGTTAAAAGATTGGATGATTTTTAAGGCTTCTTCTTACTCTGAAGATTATATGATGCTTTGTAGTACATTGGTTTCTGCTATTGTCTAAATAGGTGGATAGTCAAGATTTCATAGGATGGCCATCTTTTTCCCAAGAATACATTGTGTCTGAAAACAGGGATTGCCATTAGTCCTTTATCAGTTTCTTCAAGACTTCTCAGTTGCTTTCAGTTCTGCCTTTCTTTTTTAGGATACTAGTTTGCTTCTGGTCTTTGACAGCTCCATTTTTCTCCCTCTTTTTGCACATAAGTACACCTATCCCACCAATACTTCTAGTATGGGAATACTTCACTCACTCTATTTTTTGAACTAGCTTTTCCATTTAGGTAGCTTATAGTTTCTTCTCAAGCCTAACTGTAGTCTCTAATAAAAATTTCTTCTGAATGTGTGTGAAAAATGGGTACTCGGTCTTCCCCTTGTCATGTCTTTGTCATTATCTTTTCTAAGTGTATTAAACTCCTAACCTTGGAGTTTTCTGATCCCTTTCCTCATTATTTCTATGTTCTGTCCAGTATGAAATGCTGCTGATCATTCCATGCCAAGAGCTTTTGGATCTGTTGCTTCCTCTTTATAGCTAGAGCCAGCGCCTCATCTCCGAGCTTAATTACTGCCTTCTTGCTGATTTTTTTAAACCCTAGTTTCTCTCTGCATTAGACCCTATACTCAAATACTAGATTTAATTCCTCTCAGGCACCCTTCTCATGAAGTCATTTCTCTGATCTTAGACCCACAGTATCAAATTTATACATCACAAATTAGCATTTAAATCCTCCACCTCCACTTCTCTCTCCTTATCTCTTATTTCCCTAAATGGAGCCAAACTAATTGGTAGTTAGCCTTCTTTATTCTTTGTTTTTGTTTCTTTGTTCTCCTCTCTTTCTTGTTGCAGAGGTGTTCTTTCCTCCTGCCATGCTTTTGCTTCTTTGCTATTATGTCTCCTTCCCCTCAGTGATTGATCCCATTTGACTCCTTTTTTTTCCTTCTTTGCATTCTTTTAATGCTTAGAGATTTAGTTTGTCTAGTAATAAGGTTCATGATACCCTGTCCTTTTTTGTTGTTTTGAATATACTGCTTTTTAAAAGCATCATTCAATGTGGGAACTATTGTTTTTATTTTATTTATAGCTCACTCCTACCTATAGCAGAGTCCTGGACATAATAGTTGTCCAGTAAATCTTCCTGGCTGATAGACTATAAAAGTTTTGGGGAGAGATGTAGTGTTTAGCATTGTCATCATTTTTTAATTTTACAAATGCAAAATAATACCTTTTGTGCCATTACCTGATTTTTAATTTTTTTGTTTTATACCAAGTTTTGGAGACTGTGCTCTCAGTACAACAGTAAAATGAAGTTTAACAACATATACTACTACAAAATATTAAGTCTAATTTATTGAACACTAGCCATCTGATATATCAGATTCTCTCAAGAGAAAGGTTAGCTTCTTGGATGCTGGCTGGGCATTTTTTGAAGGTGCATTATAGCCTTAAAGCCATTACTCACCATTTAATATATTAAGATCCTTGACAATTTAATAGTTATATAGTCACCAGAACCCAGAATAAAAGAATAAAGAGTGTTGACCTGATTTCCTTCTACTGTATGAAGCTCTGCTTTTGTTGCTAACCTACTCTTAAATAGCATTTCTTCCCATAATTTCCATGTCCTTCAAAGTCAGTAATGGGAGGGAAAGGAGGATTACCGGAGTGGAGTTGGCTGAGTGAGGGGATTCAAGGCAGAAGGCAGCTTCCAGACCTTGTGTCTAGCTGTGTTACCTTCCTGTCTTCTTTCTTAGCTCAGGAGCACAGTTGACTTAAAGGTAATCATCAGTTTATACCACCTTATTAACATTGTTAACGCAAGTTTCCTTTCTTTTTAACCCTTTGTCTTCAATCCACATGCCCATTCCCTTCCCCATTTATATGTGCCTACTGTGATTTGCTTGAGAAATACGTAGCATAATTATGGTGTCTTCAGCTTACATAGTGGTTTGTCTATTTTTTACTCAGTGCTGTGCTTTTTAAGATGTATTCGTATTGCTGTAGGTACAATTAAAGTGATTTCTAGAAGTTATATAGAATTCCATATTTGTATCCACTCCATTTTGAGTTTCCATTTTTCCAGTTATTGAAATCAAAGTTACTTCAAAATTCCCTACTACATTATCATCACAGCAGACATTCTTACATAGGTCTCTAATGTATATAACTTGCATCTAGACCATCCTACTTGGAATGTCTCTTGAATTTATCCACCAGAGTGGGATCACTGCATCACATAGGACACAGACATACTTCATGTCACTAAGGACTCTTAGCAAAATGGCTATATCCACTTAACTTCTTTACATCTTTGCCAACCTTTACTGTAACCACCATTCTAACTTTTAAGCCCTTCTGAACAGTATGAACAATGCTATCTGGTTATTAGAATTTGTATTTGCTTTTACTCTGAGTTTGATCATCTCTTCATTTACTTGCTAATCATTTCACCTTCTCTTTCTGTAGCTTCCCTTCCTGTAGCTTTTGACTGTTTTTCTATCAGGTTTCTTGTGATTTTTATATCAAATTGTAGAAATTCCTTATCTATTCTAGACATTTAGTCTCTTGGCAACTTTAGATGTTGCAGGAGCTTTTCCTTGTCTGTCCTCTATTTTAACTCTTTTTGTGGTATTCTGTATTGAACAGAAATCTACAGTTGTGTTGAAGTCAAATCTAACAGTATTTCACTGTATAGTTTGTATTTTTAGAGTCTGATTTATGAAGTCTTTCTTCTCTGTAATGTTAGCTCCCAGTGGTTTCCCCCCACAAACCTGTTTACATGGCCTTTTGAAGAGAGGGCTTTCCTTTCTCACCTATGGCTCTCAGGAGGCTTGGCAGTTGGTGTTAATGTTTGACTGCCCCTGATGGAGGAAAAAGATTCAAGAAAATTGCACACTCCTTTCTCTAAGCCCTATGCTTCTACTCACAGGACCCGGTGACCCTGTTTGTGCTGTATGAATCCTGTCTGCGCAAGCGATAGCCAGTGGGGAAAGGGATGCATACCTACCCAAGAAGAGTGATCAAATCTTCCAAGGAACTTGGAATTGTGACTAGTCTCTGTTGGCCTCTTGAAGGACATGCAGACTGAGGGGTTTTGGTTTTGGGGTGACCCATATTTCTCCATGTTCACAAAGAAGCTAGAGAAATGGTCTGCACAGAAGGGAGAATAAAGAAAATAGGCATGGAGAAACACAGGAAGGAGCCTCTGGCCCCATGGAGAGGGAGACTGTAGAACATGAGAGTAGCTGTCCTGGATCCTGATGGCTTTCCAGCTTCTGGTTCTTTTCTCTTCTGAGACCAGATTGCATTTCCTTTTCTGTATTAGTTAGGGGTGGCTAACTCTGTAACAGACTCGAAAGGGTTTAATGGCTCTAACACAATAGAAGTTTATTTCTTGCTCACATAAACAGGTCCAGATGGTTCTAAGTTGGTGGAGTAGCAGCATTGGAGGGCTCTGTGCCACACAGTTATTCAGAAACCTACACTAATGGAGGCTCTGCCATTTTTATCACATGACTTCAAAGGTCTGCCTAGGTCAGTATGAAGCCTGCAGATGGGAAATGGAGTTTAATACAGGAGAAGTTTTATAGGCCAGGCCTTGAATCAGCACACACCACTCCCATTCCTCTGGCTAGAACTCTATCTCATGACTACCTTTAACTGCATAGGAAGCTGAAAAATCTTACCAAGCTATGGACCTAAAAGGGTTTGGAGAACAGGTAGATTGCTACGTCATATTTATTATCTGTGTGATACCTCTGTATCCTTAAAGTCAAGTTCCTGTTTTTTCTTAACTTATTTGAGTTGGCTTCTGTTCTTTATGCCTCAGTGTATGAGGTAGTTTCATAAGAGCTATCTTTAAAATAGTAGAAGAAATAAATACTGATTATTTTCTCAGGAAAGTTGGGTCGATTTCCACCGATGATGCATCATCACCAGCCACCCGCAGATGGCCAGACCCCTGGGGCTCGTTTCCAGAGGTCTCACCTTGCAGAGGCATTTGCAAAGGCCAAAGGATCTGGTGGAGGCACTGGAGGAGGAGGTAGTGGAAGAGGCCTGATGGGACAGATTATTCCAATCTATGGTTTTGGGATTTTTTTATATATATTATATATTCTATTTAAGGTAAGTGGAATCATCTTGATCATATTATATCAAGAAAATTTGGTATCCTAATAAAAATCATTTTTTTGGCATTAAAACTCTTTACAGTTCATAACCTTTATTCAAATTCTCTTTAAACCTTGCTTTCTCTTTATGAGGTATTTAGGATAATTGTTACCTTGGTTTTATAGAAGAGGAGATTTTCGCTCAAAGCTTAAATGGTTTGCCCTAGAAGTCACAACTAGAACTGTAGAATCACGTCTTGAGCCTGGGTCTTCTAGTTGCTAATGCAATAAAGATCAAAGCTCCTCCCACTCCAGTTTTTTTGTTTCTGTTTCTTTGACTGGATGCCTTTGCAAGCTGAAAAGGTGTAAAGCTATTTTAAGGATAACTTTATTACTAGGATTGGCACAGTGATTTCCAAGTAGCCCACTGTGAGACCAAATAATGACCATACCAACACCACTTTGTCCTCCTTTTCCCCCTCCAGGAGTGTGAAATGATGTTTTTAACATCTGCTGTAGTTTGCTGAAACAAAACTGCCAATCCTGAAACTAAGCCTGATGTCTCGTAGCTCTGGGGAGACATGGTTTGGGTTCTTCAAAAGCAACTCCCAGTTAAGTTCCCTCTCCAGGTGGACTTCAGTGAGCTATGGGCCTAGACACTGAAGTGGAACAGAAGTCACATTCTGTATCCTTTTTGGAAATCTTAAATATTCACTGTGCCCTTCTAATCAGAGTAAGAAGCAAGTTTCTTCTTGCTCAGGAACTCTGTTTGGGACCCGAGTTGCCTCTGTAAGAACACCCCTGGGGGCTGTACATCCCCTTTTAGATGAGTGTGGGAAAGGCAGATGACCTGGAAAGAGATTTTTTTTTGTCTTTGTGACTTGATGGGTTTTCATTTGGGGGCCTTCTTTTGGTTCTCTCTCTCTCCTCTCTCTCTCTCTCTGACTATCATAAATAAATAAAAATTAAAAAAAAATAAAAATAAAAATAAAAAATGAAATGTTTCTCTGATATTGGTATTTGATTTGATTTCTGACTTAATTTTTATCTCCCAACCTTTTTTTTTCATTTAATATGAGGGGTTCCATGACTTTGAGGTTCTGAGCTGCTGTTGATGTGCTGTACCTCCTTCAATTCTCAGCTTTCAAAGGGGAAAACTACTGCAGAGGATCGGAAATGTTCTACTGCCACAGCTGGAAACACCCACAGGAAAATTAGTAAGTGCCCCTTCTCAGTATATGCACAGGTTTTATTGAGTCAGACTGCCATAATATGGTCAGAGGGGCAATCTATGGATATGTCTTAAAAGAATTTCTTAAAAATTTCCCCAAATCCAATGCCATTTTTACCTAAGCTCGGGAAGTCTTGAGTTTCCAAATTGATGTTGAGCTTTTAAGAGAAAGAGTTCCAAAACTATAAAACTACCCGTTTACTTTTTTATATATTAGCAAATTAATATTTCACATTTAGAATGGGTTACTTCTCATTCCAGACTTTAGAATATTTGTAGCAGATACCTTTATTTCACAGACAGGAAAACTAAGGAAGAAAGATCAAGTCATGGCCAAAATAGGTTATTAAATCTAGGGACAGGGTTTAACACTTTTGACTCATGAAATAACACGGTCATCAAATATTTACTGACCAAGTGGAGTATTCTGTGCCCTCTGGAGAAATGAAATGTGTATGGCATGGCTCTTTCTCCTAAGAATCCATAGTCTAGGATGAATATCAGGAAAAATAACTTGTGCAAAGTTTATTATCTAGAAGGGGACTTGATGAGGGCCTTACGGGAAATGACATGAAGCTGGGTCCTGTCAGATAGATGAGATGGCTTAAGGAAGACACAGCCTGATACAGGATGGCCTGGGGGAGCAGATAGGTTAAGCCATGTCACTGAAGGCCTTGGAGGCCAAACTGCTTTATCCTGTGGATAATGAAGCCTCATCAGAAGTTTTTTTTTTTTTAATGAATTTCTTTTTTTTTTTTAATTTTTATTTATTTATGATAGTCGCAGAGAGAGAGAGAGAGAGAGAGGCAGAGACACAGGCAGAGGGAGAAGCAGGCTCCATGCACCGGGAGCTCGACGTGGGATTCGATCCCGGCCGGGTCTCCAGGATCGCACCCTGGGCCAAAGGCTGGCGCCAAACCCCTGCGCCACCCAGGGATCCCCATCAGAAGTTTTTAAGAGAAAGCAGCAAAGTGAAGTGAGGCTGAGCCACTGAAGCATCTGCCCTTGGCCCTAACTGCTTTTTGGATATACTCAGAATTCTCTGGGAAGTAGATATCCCAGTCATAGTCTGCATCCTTTTTAGAAATCTTAAATATACAAGGAATCCTTTAAGAAAGCGCTTGAGTTTTTTTTGTTTTGTTTTGTTTTTAAAAGATTTTATTTATTTATTCATGAGAGACACAGAGGCAGAGACACAGGCAGAGGGAGAAGCAGGCTCCATGCAGGAAGCCCCATGCGGAACTCCAAGATCACGCCCTGGGCCAAAGGCAGGCACTAAACTGCTACACCGCCCAGGGATCCCCTAGGTCCTGCATTCTTAATTGAGATAATGTCTAACCAACAGTGATGGTAAATGCATCAGTAAAATAATTTTGAAAAGATTTTTGGACTCTCAAAGAATAACAAGTTCTGTATCCAATCACATAATGCATTTAAAACAGATATAAATAAAATGAATTCTTAAGAACAGCTGTCTTGTAATATAGCAGTTATATCTGCTTCTTATCCTTCAATTTTGAATAATGCAATTAAAATAACCTAAGCATTTATGTGGCACAGTCCTCTAGACACTGCAGATGTTAACCGCATGCATAAGAATTTGTTCTAAAAGTATTAAAAGGCCTTTGAAATACTATATTTTACAGTGGCCTTCTAAATATATCTGGTTAGAAGGATACTCGTGTGTGAAACAGAAAAACTGGATTATCTGCATAGTGAACAGCATTTTGTTTTCCTGCTGCCTTAAAGTTCATTTCATGTACTAATTGATTTTTTTTTTCTACTCTACTTTTAGGGTCTTAATTTCAGTAGATAGATGTGATCTCTGTTGACCTTTGTTGAGAATACTGGGGACCAAGTACACCACTTCATCCCAAATGATGAGGGTAGGAAACGTTGGTCAGGCAGGCTTCAGCCCTAGTTCAAGACTTCCTCTGTGAAGAAAGGATAGTATTAAAATCATGATCCTCTAGATATGTTTTCAGACTTTGGGTTCAGGTGAAATCCTGCTCATTTCAGGGTGTTACCTCCTTTTCTAAAGTACCTTGTGTGTTTGGTACTTTTCCCCTCAAGCATCATTGGATTAGAAAGGATATGTTTATCTTCTTCATTTCTTCTTGGGTGATCATGTTGAGTGGGGTGTTTTATTTGTTTTCTCTTCTCCTAGGTATTTTTTTTAGCTGGTCCTGCTGTGTTTCCATGTAAGAGAGAGTGATTTGTTTATTACTCCCAAAACCTATATCCTTTAGATCTCAGTGGCCACACCTTGGTACCTTTTGTGTCCTGATTGGACCAGCTGGAGAGACATGAGGCTCTTCTCTGAATCTCTAAACCAGCTAGGATTATTTGTAGGGTATCACAGCCAGACAGTTTCAGAAAAGAGCTTTGGGAGTTATGTATAATGGTTCCTTAGATTGATGCTTGTTTTTCAGCCAATTTCGAGCTTGTTCAACTGCAAGAAAAACTGAAAGAGACAGAGGAAGCCATGGAAAAATTAATCAACAGAGTGGGACCTAATGGTGAGAGGTAGGTTTTCACATAACAGGACTCAGACTATTTCCCATTTAGAGAATCCATTTAGAATTTTGCTTTACTTTGATTTCTGGACCATTTATTTTCATTTTATATAATTGTCAACTTATTTGTCATTTACATATTCGTTTTTACTAAGTATTTCCATTTTCATACCATCTGCTTTCAAAAGTCTTTGTTGAGTATTGTACACGTTATCATTATTGTGAGGGGAAGTTTATGAGCAGTCTTGCCCAGTGAAATAACCAGGTTCTAAGGAAGATAATTTCATAGCTGTCTAATAATTTGGTTTTACTTTAAATTATGCCTTCTTAAATCTGCTTGAGACAAAAAGAAGAGGACAAGGGTGATTAGGCATTTGTATTTTGTGTTTTCTATTCCGGAACAGGATTAGACATGTAAAGTGGGGTCCAAAGTTCAGCTAGCCCTTTAGGATGCCTTACAGGGAAGACCACCCTCCTGCTACTAGGCTGGCTGAGAATCTGAAAAGGTGGCTTCAGGAGGTTGATGAAAGTGGGCAAAAAACTAAGAAAATATAGATGTAGGAAGGCCAGGGAGGAAAAACCAGAATGTCAGCTTGAGAAAGGAGAGGGATTCAGTCTTAGCAAGACCTTCTGACAAAGATGGAGGAAAGACTGAGGGTGAGTGGCAGAATCCCAGGTGTTAAGAGGTCCATCCTGTGGGCTCACTGTGGAGTCTCTGCTTCCAAGAAAACTACTGCTGCACCATGGCCTCTGTTTGCCATGTTGGTGGTGCTAGTGCCTCATATCCTTCTCAGCTCCTTGGATCCAGCCTTGCGCATCTTTGGCTAGATAAGGCAAGAGTAAACATTCTCAGATTGCAGCTCCTTGGCTTGACTTTTTCCTACAACATCTAAAATGATGCTGAAATGAGGATGAGAATGAACCTTGCCTGTCTTCACCCAGGAGCCTTCACTTTTTGGTTCAGAAGGCAGAGTGACTATCCAGACTGTTCCCATAGAGGTAGAGGAATGTGTACATACTTACACATGAGTATATCTCTGGAAGTGTGTAATAAAACTTGATACTTGTTGAGCACTTATGAAGAACAAAGCACTGAGAGAATACCTTATATCATTATAATGATACCTTATATCATTATCTAATGTAGAAGTATTTGTCGGAGTGTGACTAAACCAATTTGTACAGCTATACTTTTCTGGTCTTTTCTGCCCTTAACTTGTACTACTCACAGTCTAGGTGGGGAACTACCAGCCTTTTATGGACCCTCAAGCCTCAAAGAGTATCTGTGCCCTGGTCCATTTGAAGACCCATGCCACACCTAAGGGTCATGAAAACCATAGATGAAAACCTGTGGGCAGGGCTTCCCATCTGGGAGACTAAGCCCCTGGGCCTTGAAGTAAGAAACAAGAGGAAGATATTTTCTATTACTGCTGTTCACACTCCCTTAGTTCAAATCATATAGTTCTGCTTTCTAACCTGTGCATATCTTCTGTCCATTGCGTAAGCCAGTGATGTAGTACTGTGACTGTAACTACTTTACGCTTTGTGCCAGGATTACTTCTCTGTAAGGTAGATGAGTGGTCCCCACCCTGCAGCTAGAGTTGTGCCATCTCATTGTTTCTGGGGCCACAGGTCCTAGCTCAGAATGTTTATTCTTTGTAAGATGCTAAGTAAGGTATGGACTCCTTGAGAACCTGTTGAATCCAGCTTGCCACATGGCAATGATTGTAAAACATTTTCCCACAGTACTTCTCAGAAACTGCGGATTGACTCTCCTTCCACTGAAGAGAACATAGCTTGTAGCTCCCGTTCTCAAATCTCTCATCTTCCAGTTCTAAAAAGATGACTTTTCTCTCTGTCACTTATGATCTAGTACCTTCTATCCTTACAGGTAGGCCTTATGGGACTTCACCCTCAAACTCAAAGGGCTAACTAGCCCCATGTTTTACGTGATTTCCTTTTTTTACGTTTATATCCTTTAACCTTAGTGTCTGTGGCATTTGTTTTTCTCTGTGTTTCTGTGATTATGAGAAGAGCCTCAAATACCCCGGTATTTTTCTAGCAGATCAAAATTTAACACATCTCCAGGCTCTGAGAGTCTAGGAGGGGATTAAAGACACAGAAACCATGTTCACTTACAGCCTTCTAAGTCCTTTTAGGGAATGTTAATTCCATAATTATAAGGTTTTCTTAAAATTCCAGAAATATGTGGTTTCTGAAACTTAACCTAGGAATTACAACTGAAGCAGCATGTCTAGTTGTAATCATTCACCTCCTGGAAGCGTGGCACGGCCTGAGGGAGAAGTGGGGTGCAACCCAGGCAGAAAACAGCCAGAGAAGGCATGTTGAGGATGCATATGAAACTGTAGATTTATGGCATGCATTCCTGGGATATAAACTTACTGAGGACAGACTTAGTCTGTTTAGTTCATTGTTCACATAATAGATACTAAGGAAGTTCTTATTGTTGAAAAAGGGTAGATACTCACTTTTGAGACAAGCATTTGTACATGAATCATGGGTAGAAGAGGTAATCATGGCATTCTTTGCTAAGATCCTTCTCTTCATTTCCTGACCTTTATATTCAGGGTCCTATGTCTCATAGATTATCTGCCCTTCTTCAGTTGATAAATGTCTTTTGAAAGAATGTGCAAAATGAAAATCATTATCTATCTCCAGCTGACTCTACTCCACCTTTAATATTCTCCATCTTGGCAAGTGGCTCCCACCATCTACTTAATTGCCCAAAGCAGAAATCTGATATTATCCTTGATTTACCTTTTTCTTCACTTCCTATATCTCATCAATCACCCTGTCTTGTTATTTCTTCCTAATTAATAAGTCTGTCTCCCTGCAAAAGACTCTAAGCTCTGCTAGGATAGGGATTATCTGTATTATTCCCAGAGCCTAGCACAGGCCAACAGTAGGCTCTAAAAAAGTGTTAGTTGAAATGGAAGAATGCATTAGAGAATGAATGCCTTTTTAAAAAAATTATAGTTGACATACAGTATTCTGTTAGTTTCAGTATATCTTACATAGTGCTTACCACAATAAGTGTAATTATCATCTGTCACCATGCATTATCTCAGTATTATTGACTATATTCTCTGTGGTATTTTTTACCTATGTGATTTACTTGTTTTATAACTGAAAGTTTGTACCTCTTACTGTCCTTTACCTATTTTGCCCATTCTCCCCACCAGCAACCATCAGCTTGTTCTCTGTATTTGAGTCTATTTCTGTGTGTGTTTTAGATTTCATGTGTAAGTGATATCATGGTATTTTAATATTTTTCTCTGTCTGACTTACTTCATTTAGCATGATACCCTGTAAGTCCATCCATGTTGTGAATGGCAAGATCTCATTCATTTTTATGCTTAGTAATAGCATTCCAGTGCATGTGCATGCACACGCTTGTGTGTGTGTGTGTGTGTGTGTGTGTGTGTGTGTACACAACAAATCTTTATCCATTCATCCCAAGTGGATGACACTTGGGTTGCTTCCATGTCTTGGCTACTGTAAATAATGCTGCAATAAACACAGGGTGCATACTTCTGAATTAGTGTTGCTGGTCTTTTTTGGTAAATGCCCAGTAGTGGAATAACTAGATCATATAGTAGTCCTATTTTTAATTTTTTGAACCACCTCCATACTGTTTTCCACAGTGGCTGCAACAATTTAAATTCCTACCAACAGTGTACAAGGGTTCCTTTTTCTCTATATCCTCGCCAACACTTGTTGTTTTTTTGGTTCTAGCCATTCTGATAGGTGTGAGATGATACCTTATTATGGTTTTGATTTGTATTTCCCCAATGATTAGTGATGTTGAACATCATTTCATGTGTCGATTGGCCATCTGTCTGTCTTCTTTGGAAAATATCTGTTCAAGTCCTCTGTCTATTTTTAATTGGATTATTTGTTGGGGGCCATTTTTTTTTATTTTTTATTTTTTATTTATTTATGATAGTCACACATAGAGAGAGAGAGAGAGAGAGGCAGAGACATAGGCAGAGGGAGAAGCAGGCTCCATGCACTGGGAGCCCGACGTGGGATTCGATCCAGGGTCTCCAAGATCGCGCCCTGGGCCAAAGGCAGGCGCTAAACCGCTGCGCCACCCAGGGATCCCAGAAGTTCTTTATATATTTTGGATATTAACCACTTATCAGAAATATCATTTATAAATATCTTCTCACATTCAGTAGATTGCCTTTTCATTTGGTTGATGATTTCCTTCACTGTGCAAAAGCTTTTTATTTCAGTGTCATCCCAATAATTTATTTTTACTTCTGTTTTCCTTGCGTGAGAAGATATAGCAAGAAGAATGTCACTAAGGCTGATGTCAAAGACATTACCTATGTTTTCTTCTAGGAGTTTATGGTTTCAGGTCTCACATTATCTTTAATCCATCTTGAGTTTATTTTTGTGTATGATGTAAGAAAGTGGTCCAGTTGTATTCTTTTGCATGTAGCTCTTCAGTTTTCCCAACACCATTTATTAAAAAGACCATCTTTTCTCCAGGGTATATTCTTGTCTCCTTTGTTGTAGAGTAATTGACCACATAGGTGTGCATTTATTTCTGGGCTCTCTCTCCTATTCCATTGATCTGTTTGTCTGTTTTTGTGCCAGTACCTTACTGTACCAAAGTATTTAACTACAACTTTGTAGTTTATCTTGAAATCTGCAATTGTGATACTTCCAGCTTTGTTCTTTCTTCTCAAGATGCCTTTGGCTATTTGGGGGTGTTCTGTGGTTCCGTACATATTTTAGCATGTGTTGTAGTTCTGTGAAAAATGCTGTTGGTGTTTTGATGGAGATTGCATTGAATCTGTAGATCTATAATATTCTTTCAGCCCACAAATGTGGTATATCTTTCCATTTGTGGTATCTTCAGTTTCTTTCATTGCTGCCTTATAGTTTTCAGAGTATGGGTCTTTTACCTTGTTCTCTGAAAGGGGGGTATAACGCAAAATGATTTCTAAAGCCCTAAAGAGCCATAAGATAGAAGAAAAA